GGCCGGACCCGCGGACACGCCCCCCAGGGCCCCCGGGACGGCGCCCTCCCCCCCGGAAGAACTCACCCCCGGGAGAGGTCATCGGCGGGCCGGACGGCCGGGCTGGGTGGGCCCGGGTCGCCTCTCCTCGGGTCTCCAGGTGCCCCGGCGGCCCGGCCGATACTGGATCTCAGGTGGGAGTGGGCGGGGCCGCTCCCGCCCCGCCCCGAGGCCACGCCCCCTGCTTTGCATGCGCAGTCCCGCCTCCGGGTCTGTGATCTCCAGGTGGAAATCCAGGTCTGTCGGCCTGGCTGGTTTGACCAGGATCAAACCAGTCAAGTCAGTCCCTGAAAGACACACGTTGACACCCACGAGCAAGGCAATGAAGCAGCGTGAAATGCATCCGGTGTCGAACATTTGCCCTGCTTACACGACCGCCTTTTCCTATGAATTCCCATAGATCCTTGTTTTGCATTTGAAGAAACTGAAGAGAAAGATACTAGACTTAATAAAGTAAGACAAGCCTGAATTTTAGTTGGGCATACTGGACACAGAGACAAGGCTTATAATCTGTGTGTGTGTGTGTGTGTGTGTGTGTGTGTGTGTGTGAATGTGGGGTGTTTGAGGAGATGGGGTGGGGTAGTTTCCTGTGCTTTTAAGAATTGTGTGATACAGTTAGTACATTTAACCATACACAGATAACACTGCGTGCGTGTGTGCTGAAGATAAGGCCTGGGGTGTCTCTGTGATGCTGCCACTGAACCACACCATCCTGGAGAATTTCGTTTGTTTGAAACAGCGATCTGAGCCCCTGTAGGGAGGAATCCACATACACACACGTACACGTGTAAACTTCTTTTCAGATGAGATCTGGGTTTGGTGCTGGGTGCTTCTGTGTTTGCACATGGGGTCACAGAGGAGGAGTGGCTGGCCACATGCTGGGAATTGTTAACTTGGGTGATGGCTTTTGGAAATTGAATGTACTATTACACACTCTCTGTGTATCGTTGGCACAACACATGTGCTCATGTAGTCATTAGGAAGGTATTTACTGAGTGCCTGCTAGGTGTCAGACACTGTTCTCTAGGTGCTGGGGACCTTATCAATGGACAGAGTTAAATATTCCTGCCTGAAGTAGAGATGTGGCTCAAGTGGTAGAGCACCAGCCAAACACAAAACCCAGCAACTAACAATATCTGTCTTGAGGAATCTGTGTTCTGGTTGGAGATGGGGTGGGGTGATAGAAAGACCAACCAGCAAACATGGTAAATTTGTGAATTCTATAGTAGGTTGGAGAGTATTCACTACCGTGGAAAAGGAAAATAGAGAAGAGAGGAGGTTGTGAGAAAATGTAGATCTGATGAATAAGAGGTTTGAGATTTGGGGTTCCAGCAATGAGAACAAACCTACAGGGGAGGCTGAATAGGAAGGGTAGGAAGGGAATGAGCTTCAGAGAGGGAGGCTAATGAAGGAGAGCATGTGGTCGGTCAGTCCTGTCAGATGGTACTTGTAGTCCAGATGGAATCCAGTGGAAAGTGCGGTCAGATTACCTAGCAAATACATAGAGGGCCTCCAGCCTCCATACTCAACCATGTGGCTGCGAGAAGGTGCACAAGAATTTATTTGCATCGTTGAAGGAAGAGTAGAGAAAGGATGAGTGAGCTAAGGAAGTTTTTTATTAGGAACTTGTCATTATAATTGAATCTAATTAAGGTCCCCTCTTCAGGATTAACTCTTTGAGGTCCAAGGCTTAATTACCTTCAGATTTCCAGGGCTTGGCTGAGTATCTGCCTCCTACAGCACTCAGGTGTTTGCTGAGTGATTAAAGATAAATGGGGGGGGGATGGGCTGAAGCTTTGACTTGCCCAGTGCCTCAGCTACAGTTCAGTTACAGACACACGGAGGAGGGGGCTTTGGTTTCCTCCTCGGACACTGATGGCCAAAGGCTGGCAAGTGTCCTTCCCATAACGCCTTTTCTTTGCTTTCTGGGACAGTACAGGAAAAGGTCCCACCAGCAGAGTCAGCTCTCCAGTCTTCGAATATCACCATGGTCTTTTGTTCCTTTGGCCTCACCTTGCAAGGGACACATCTAACAAAACAGAGAGACACACTGAATAGGGTGGAACTTAAAAACCTTTATTAATGAAGAGTTATCCTTTTATAGAATGAGGCATGGAAAGAAGAAAGAGGTTAGTGAGTGCACAGTACAAAAGAACACAAAATTGATCAAAGTAAGTTTTGTCAAGAAAATGAATGATTAACAATATTTTCGTAGGGTCATGACGTAAATATTTTTTACACAAGTGGCTATGCTTCTACCTCTAATATTGATTACATATGCTACTTGAAGTTTTTTTTTCACCAAATGGAGACAAGAATATGAAGTTCATGGGGCTGGGAAGGAGGCTCAGTGGTAGAGTGCTTGCCTTGCATGCATGAGGCTCTGGGTTCGATTCCTGAGCACCACATAAGCAAAAAAAAGAATATGAAGTTCATAAATAGAGATATATAGACATCTCTCTCTCTCTCTATATATATATATATATGCATCCAGGATACGAAGTCTTAGAAGATATAGGAAAATGGATAAAAGGAAGGCATGAGGATACCCAGTGAATGAAAAGAAACAACCTGAAATTTCAGAATAGAAGGGACAGAAAGAGTGGATCTGGTGACTCTCCATAGATAGTTAAAAAGTTGGCAGGATAACTGGCAAAAAGTGTCACCAAATTCAGCGACCAAAGCCTCCAGCATTTCTCAGCCTAGACAATCAGCCGAGCAAGCACCTAGCAGCAGCATTGCTTCTGGCAGCAGCACTTCTGCTGACAACAGCACTTCCCACAGCCACAGCACTTCCCACAGCCACAGCCACAGCCACAGGAGCCACAGCCACAGGAGCCACAGCCACAGCCACAGCCACAGGAGTTGCAGCAGGTGCGGCGGCAGCAGCAGTACCTGGGGGAGCAGCAGGCACAGCAGCCACGGCAGCAGCCGGCACAGCCACTGCAGCACCCACCACAGCCACAGCCACAGCCACCACAGCCACAGCCACCACAACCACAGCCACAACCCATGGTGTCAGGAGAGAGGATTTGAGTGAGGCAAGGAGAGAAGGTTCAGGAGAGGAGGGGAAGTCTGATGGCAGTTGCTTCAGCGGCCCTTATATGCGCTGCCGATGTCCCATGTGACACTGAGCCACTGTCTTGTTTTCGCCAGCTTCCTGAGTGTTCTTCCTCGTCGACTCTCCTCATGAAAGTTCTAATTTTAACTTTTACTTCCTCACGTTATGCTTCTACCAAACAGGTTTCAAAATATTGTTTTCTAGTAACGAGTGGACATGGGTGACTGACCTTGTACATCTCATTGGGGGAAAGCACTCCTCCTATTTTTCATGCATCTGGAGCCTGAGTCCCTGGAGAATATCCTCTGCTCCATTTCGCAGGATTCGTTACTGAGCTCAGGTGTTCTGTGCTGAGTGCAAAGGAAGCCGGCAGCCCACAGATTGGCCCCGAGCCTCCTCTCACATGCCATGAGGTTTTGATAGGAGAATATCAGAAAATGCTCTCATGTATTTTTTTGGTTGGTCATGGGCTTTGAACTCAGGGCCTGGGTGCTGTCCCTGTGCTCTTTTGCACAAGGCTAACACTCTACCACTTTGAGTCATAGTACCATTTCTGGTTTTTTGAGTGGTTATTTTGAGATAAGATTCTCCCAGGGACCTTACTGCGCTAGCTCACTTTGAATGAATCATGATCGTCAGACCTTAGCCTCCTCAGAGCTAGGATCGGTATCTGGCTTTTATGTTTCTTCTTAATTCACAAAACACGGGGAAGGCCACCTGGAAAGAGTCACCTTGAGTGGAGACCTAGTCATGACGTATTTCAAAACTATCTGTCCAGGCTAGTTCATTATCCCTCTTTCTCTTCATGTCTTCCTGGGATAGAAAGCAACAGAGCCCAAAGTCCCTGCCACCAGCTGGCTTTAGTTCCCAAAGAAAACCACAGCGCTTTGTAACTCAGTTTCATTTGTTTAGGTTAAAGAATGAAGAGCTTTGTATATATACACACACACATATATATATATATACACACACACACATATGAACATATATGAAAATCTGAAATATATAGTGTATCATAAATGTAATATATGTTTATATAATATATTGTATAATATATTTGTTATATATTTATATAAGATAATATATTATAATGTGTATTTATACTGTATTAATACATAGCATATATTATAATATATTTATATTGTATTGATAATTGTATTGCATTAATATTAATATTGTATATATTAAATTTATATAACATAATGTATTTTATATGATATGTAATATATCATATAACATATATAACTGTATATTATAATATATTGTAATATTATGTATAAATGTGTAAATTATAGAAATATGTACTATATCTTAAAGAGCTGCTTTAATTTTTCAGAAGAATTGAGTGGAGAGTGCGGGGAGTGCCTATCATCCCTGCCCCCACGCCCCACTCTCTGCTCCCTGCCAGAGCATCCTGTTCAGTATGGTGGGAGGAGCCAACTTCGCAGGTACCACCTGCACTTCATTGCTTCCAACTGGGTTTCCTTTGGTGGTTGGGTCTGTGAGTTTGGGCCAATGTAGAACGATAGGTGTTCAGTGTTGCAGTATTGGCCAGAACACCTGCACTCACTGAACATGATGTGTGCTTCACACATCCCCACCCCCGCCAACTCCTGCAGACCCCTGGTCCTGTTGCCGTCATCACAGTTTTGTCTTTAGCAGGGTATCATATAATTGGCAGTTCAAGTCTAATTCTTCTTCTCTGCCTTCTCCTCTCTTCCTCCTCATTTCCTCCCCCTTCTCTTCCTCTTCATTTCTCGCTCCTTCTATTATTATTGCTGTTGTTTGGCAGTACTAGGATTGAATCCAGGGCCTCCCCCATGCTAGGCAAACACTCTACCACTGAGCTACATTGACACCACCCAAGCCTAATTAAAAACAAAAGATATTGAGGCAGTGATTACCAGGGACGATGACATTTGTGCTTGAGAATTGTTCATCGCCCCAGCCTTTGGTAAGAAAATGTAGGCCACTGCAAAGAAATAATCTCCTGGAGATGTGTATCTGTCCTGCAAACGGGCAGGCACCAGTGCACACACTTGTGCGCACACTCTG